CCCGCGCCCACGGCCCCACCCGCGCCCACAACCCACCCGCGCCCACAACCCACCCGCGCCCACGGCCCCACCAGCGCCCACGGCCCCACCCGCGCCCACAACCCACCCGCGCCCACAACCCACCCGCACCCACGGCCCCACCAGCGCCCACGGCCCCACCCGCGCCCACAACCCACCCGCGCCCACAACCCACCCGCACCCACGGCCCCACCAGCGCCCACAACCCACCCGCGCCCACAACCCACCCGCGCCCACAACCCACCTGCACCCACAACCCACCTGCACCCACAACCCACCTGCACCCACAGCCGCTCCCCGTCACTCACTCCACGGCCAAGCGCTGCTCCTGGTCAGAGCCGCCCAGCCTCAGACCCTCACCGGAGCGGGAACCCCAGCGCGCACTGCGCGTGCGCGGACCGGGCTGCGCTCCGCGCGAGATTCCCGCGCCTGACGCTCTGAGGTGAGGCCGAGGCGCCGACCCTCCCCTCCCCCACTCCACGCCACCGGGTCTGTGGGAAACTGTCCCCCACGAAACCGGCTCCTGCTGTCGGAAAGGCTGGGGGGCCGCTGCTCCAGACCGTCCAGCAGCGTGGAGGTGGGTGGCCGGCGTCGGCTGTCCCGCTGGAGGACCGAGCCGGACCGCAGTGGAGACCGCACATCCGGGACCCCGGCGCCTGGCAAAGCCCGGTAGTCACCGAGCAGCCTGGGCCGCCTGTGACGGAGTTCAGCGGAATGAGCCAGTGGCCCGGGACTGCCCCGGGACCCCAGGACGCGTCTGTTCGTTGGTCCATGCTGCTGCCCTGTTTCCCGGGAAATAAGACCTCCCCATAAAACAAGCCCCAGCAGGATGTCTAAGCATTTGGGCACTAGCAGCCCCACCCCGAAAATCAGCCCTAGTGGCGGCGTGGCCACGGCGCGTCTGCACAACCCGTGCGTGTCGTGGGGAGTGGGAAAGAAGACGAGCAGCCCTTCTCGTCCGCCCGTGAGAGCTCTGTGGCTCCACGTGAGAGACCGGGGCCGGTGGTTCTGAAGGAAATAGAGCCGCAAGGCATTCAGGATGGGATTCGGGGTCTGCAGAGTGAGGATGATGTTCCAGAAGAAGACGACCTTACTCTATTTGAATCAATGTACATGGTTGTGCCGTACTTAAAAAAAAATAACACACCCCCTGAAAATAAGCCCTAGGGTGTCTTCGTGAGGAAAAATAAACATAAGACCCTGGCTTAATTTCGGGGAAACACGGTAGAACTGAATATAAACGTGTCGGCCTACAGACAACAAAGCTTATTTCTCACAGGTCTGGAGGCCGGAGTCCGCGATGGCGGCACCCGCGGATGTGGTGACTAGTGAGGGCTCCTTTCCTGCTGGAGGGACAGCGCCCGCTCGCCGTGGCCTCACCCGGGGACGTGCCCAGCCGGCTCCCTGCGGTCCCTTCACAAAGCCAAGATCCCGCCCGTGAAAGCTGAGCCCTCAGCATCTCATCACCTCCCGAAGGCCCCGGCTCCCAGTGCCATCATCTTGGGGGGCTCCCAGTGCCATCATCTTGGGGGGCTCCCAGTGCCATCATCTTGGGGGACCGCGATTCAGCACAGGGACTTCGTAAGGACACAGGCGTCCAGACCACAGCAGTGCCTTCGCACGGAGCACAGACACAACTGTAAAGAAATGTTGCCCTTTTCAGCACAAAGGTTTCTGCTAAATGGGCGTTTGGTGGTTCTAAATGACATTGGTTCTAAGACTAGTCTTGTAAAGCCAGCTGGCTGTCCGTTCTGAGTACCTGAGCCGGGACTCGAACCAGGTGAGCAGCAGACACCACTCTACGCTTGCGTGAGTCAAAGGATGGTTTGTATCAACTCATATCAAGACTTAGCATTAATATCTGGGCTTGGGCATGCTCGGTGAAAATAGGGTAGACCCTTAGCTTAGTTCAGAATTAGCCTCTTGTATATTACTTTGTGAGCTTTCAGGAAATTTTCATTAAACATTTCTAAATATAACCATAATTTATTATAAAAACAAATAACTTCCTTGGCATGTGAGTAAACATGCACACACACACACACACACACACACACACACACTCAGGGTTTTCATATCTTTAAAATGAAGTCCAACACAACATGTTTAACCCTGTGTTATAATTTAGAACTAATTTTCAAAGTACCATGAGGTTTGAAGGTTAAAGGCAAGATCGACATGCAGAACCAGTGAACAGATGCCTGGGGCAGGTGTGCCTGGGTCCCCTTGCTGTCATCTCTTGGAGAGTCCAACAAACGCACTGACCACAGGTCTTCTCACAGCTCTCACAGCCCTTCCCACCGCCCCACTTATGGCCCCAATTCCGCATCACGTCCTCATTCTCCTTAAGTACTCCCAGAATGAAAGCATTGATAGGTAAGTGAACAGTCTCCTCCTTTCCCTTCAAGCTTGGAAAGTCTGGTTTATAGCTCCATACCAGTTCTCTTTTGATTACAACAGATTCCAGACCTGCAGAAAGTGTCAACCAGAGGCCAGTCCCTGAGATAAAGCATCTTCAACTTCCCAGTACCCATAAAGAGAAGGGAACCTAATAAAAAAAATAATTAATATTCACAGCTACCCTCTCTGTAATATTTATATTCCTTCATTTATTTGCAGTTGAAGGCTGTGATCTTGTTCAATATTTATACATTTGCTTCATTCACTTTGTATTCCTTCCTCAAACAGATATTGAGCATCTACTACTGGGTGCCTGTTGACACATTGATTTGCAGGCATTATGGTGAGCCGCCTCACAGATGTACACAGTGCTTAGTCATGCACGGATGAGAACCCACCGACTAATTAAAAAGTGTGACTCATCTCAAAGTCCCCTGAACAGTACTGCACTTGAATTAAGTGATAATCATTGCCAATTTTCACCCTCTAAAATACTTTAGTTGTAAATAAAACTGTATACATACAACAAGCTCCTTGGGTTATAAAGGAGGAGGTGGTATTGGGCACTCATTCATTCATGTTTCTTTTTGAATCAAGAGATCAAAATTGATGTCAAAGTAAGGAAACGTCCAACAAAAGAGCATCCATACCCACCCTGTGCTATTTTTCTTGTCTCAGCTTCCCAGCTCATCCCACCTGCTTCCCTGTCGGTCCCCGCTCACAGCGCTGGAACTGGTTCAGCGCAGGCAGGAGGTACATTAGCAGACACGGCTCCACTCTCAGTGACGTGCCGTCTCCCACAACCCACATCCAGAGGCCCAGAGGTGAATATTGGCAGATAAGGGAGAGCCCAGCAGGTGGGGGCCCCTGTGATTCTAGGGTCAGAGCAGTTCCCCAAAGTTGCCTGACATCAACTCATTTCACATTTACTAAACATAATGCACCCCAAACCACAAAACAACCATTTGTTTGAGTTTTTGCTTTTTAACCATTATCTTAGTGTAATGTGGCTACAGTTAACAGTAGCTATTATGCTATGAATTATTGGTATCAAAGATAGAGTTGAAAGGATAAGTGAGGAATTTCAATAAATCGGAGAAGACAGAAGCTAGACGCCCCTCCTCCTTCCCTCAAGAGCATGACTCCTGCACCTAGGTTATCTATTCATAGCTATTTGGCATGTGCTGTTGTGTTAAGGATAGAAAACCACATCTTCAGATGGATTTTATCCCGCTGGTTTTTTTAAGACTCTGCACTTTTTGGCATTGACCCAGAGGGAAGGCATCCCATTTTAAATCTCAGTCACATCTCTCCTGGTGTGGCTGTGAGTGTGTCTTCCTAAGCAAACTAACTTCATTTTGAGTACAACTCAGGGCTTAAACTCAGGTTCACTAGGTTAAGCTAGAAGCCTGCCCTGGTTGCCATGTCTGGGTGCCATTGAGGTCACGGCTACAAGAGTATGCTGGAATTAATTGTGTCCCATTTTTGCTTTACACGTCAGCCAGGGCCAAATGAGAGAGCAGGACTGTAGGACAGAGAATGAACCTGGGTGGTAATTTAAATGCCATTAATCCATTGAGATTCTTACTCCTATTTTTCTGCATAGTTGAAGGAACAGGTAGTAACACTCATAGTAAGATGCCCAGGAATATCTCAAAAAATTGATAAACTTTCTGAGCTCCTCATCGACAAGGCCTCTTTTAGGATAATTCATATCTGTTACTGAACTTGTAAATTATTCATCTTTTGATTAATATGCTAATTAAAGATTTGCTGTTAAAAAGGTATAAATATCTTTCATTGCCTAAAGTAATTAGAATAAGTAATTATTTAAACATTATGATTCTGATGTTAAATAATTACTATGAGAGAAAAAGGGATGGAGCAGATATAAAAATATGCTTGATAATAATTTCAACTTTGAACCAAATGACAATATTTTAGGTTGTTTGTATACATACATACATATGCTATGGAAGACTTTCTTACCTGTTTCCTGCTGGACAAGTCATTCAGTTTTCATTTCACTGACATCTAGAAATGTGATTTTGCTCTTTTCAAGCCTTTTTAAAGAGAAAATATAAATTATATCAACACATTTATTTTGTAACTGTGTGTATTTTATTCTAACATTTATTCAACAATAATGTTTAAATGGCTGTAATTACTAAGTGTGCTGCCAAGATCTAGAGATGTCACATTGACTAGGGCTTGGAGTGAGCCCTACCACTGGCAAATTATTCTGGGTGTTACTGGGATCACTAGAGTATAGACTCTTGCCCATCCCTTTAGGCAAATTTTAGGTTGCATAACTTTATTTGTTTACAAAAATCTTTGGTACACACTCTGTAACATATGTAGGTTCATTCTGAAAATAAATACATGTATTATTGTTATTATGAGCTTATATCAATTTTTGTGTGAGTGCCTGAGCCTTGAGATTTTCAACTTTGTACTTTGATGGATTCACAGAAAAATTTCAAAACCGTGTGTTTATCTTTCACATCTTTTGATCTTTGGATGTGAATCACTTAATGCTGAGTCTTTGTTTACTTAGATTTTAAAGAAAAAGATAGTTTCTAGGTTTTAGTTATCCACTTATTCATTCACCAATATATCATTTGTATATTTGTTTATAAATTAAATAAACAAGGGTAAAATATACATTTTGGGTGAGGTATATAAGGAATAACTGTTGCTGTAAGTCTGTAATTTAAATAGTCTTTTTGATCCTTTTGATTTTTAGGTTCTCACTGTCTACAATGTGATTGGAACAGAACTTTACAAGGCGTGGAAGCAATGTGAGTTCTGCCGTGTTCTTACTGATTACTTTGTAAAATTATTAACATTTTTAATCCATGGTTCTACATAAACATTTCCAAGCCACTTGTGCATTTCTCTGTGTTACTTAATTAAAACAGAACGGCTTTGTCTGTTAATCCTGTTAACCAGGCCCTCTGTGATATACTCAGTAGGACAAAGGACCCAGTGAGGGCCAGGTGTCTACTCCTCTGTGTCATGGATGCCACCCTCCTTCAGGCACAGCTCAGCGTCAGATATGACACTTGGTTATGAATGAAAGTGCGAATTTCAATAGTGAATCAAATTAGAATGTCTTCTTTGAAACAAATTTAGATAATTATTAGAATTACAAATTTATTATTTTCTCCCTGTAACTAACATAGTTGGGGTCATTTTGTGCACCTCAAAAGCCAGGTACACGTAGATTTCAAAACAAAACATCTGAGTATGGCCAAACGCTACCTTCTTCCATTAAGTGAAAGGTCCCAGTCCTGCCAGCCTGAAATCATTTCTTGTAATAATACCTCACAGTCCTTTACTGTCCCTCACGCATGGCATCTGCTTTACTCTCACATAATAGCAGCCCAAATGTAATGACTGCTAGTCACAGGTAATCCTTTTGTATCTTCCTATGATCTGGTGGCTGCTGAAGATCAGAAATTTTCTCCTATTCATATTTGTATCATCTTAGCACCTAACTGCGCATAATAAACTATTCTTATTTAGGTTGGTGCAAAAGTAATCGCAGTTTTGGACCATGAATTTTAAATCATTATAACTAGGTTCAAACACATCTGTATCAATCAAAATAGGAGCCATTATAATCAACACATTTTTGCCAGTGAGAAATAGGTTTGTTTATTCCTGTAGCATAATCCACACTTTGGGATTCAATGAACTCTTGGAAAGCATTTTCTGCATCCTGCTGGTTTGTGGAAGTGTTTTCTCTCCAAAAAGTTGTCGAGATGCTTGAAGAAGTGGTAGTGTGTAGGAGAGAGGTCAGGTGAATATGGCGGATGAGACACAGCTTCGTAGCCCAATTTGTTCAAGTTCTGAAGTGTTAGTTGTGCGATGTGTGGTCGGGCATTGTTGGGGAGAAGAATTAGGACCTTTCTGTTGACCAATGCCAGCTGTAGGTGTTGCAGTTCTCAGTGCATCTCATTGATTTGCTGGGCATATTTCTCGGATGTCGTGGTTTTGCCAGGATTCAGAAAGCCGTAGTGGATCACTGGCAGCAGATCACCAAACAGTGACCGTGATCTTTTTTTGGTGCAAGTTTGGCTTTGGGAAGTGCTTTGGAGCTTCTTCTCGGTCCAACCACCAAGCTAGTTATCGCTGGTTGTCATATAAAATCCACTTTTCATTGCACATCACAATCCAGTGGAGAAATGGTTTGTTGTTGTGTACAAGAAGAGAAGATGACACTTCAAAATGACGATTTTGATTTTTTGTCAGCTCATGAGCCACCCATTTATTGAGCTTTTTCACCTTTCTAATTTGCTTCAAATGCTGAATGACCCATAGAATGGTGTCCTTGAGTTCTTTGGCAACTCCTACTGTAGTTGTAAGAGGATCAGCTTTGATGATTGCTCTCAGTTGGTCATTGTCAACTTCCGATGGCCGGCTGCTGTGTTCTTCATCTTTAAGGCTCTCATCTCCTTTGCGCAACTTCTTGAACTGACACTGCACTATTTGTTCATTAGCAGTTCCTGGGCCAAATGCACTGTGGATGTTACCAGTTGTCTCTGTTAGGACCCATTTTGAACTTTAATACAAAAGTTACTGGAATTTGCTTTTTCTCTAACACCATTTCCATAGCCTAAAATCAATATAAAATAAATAACAAGTAATAAGTCCTTAGCAAAACAAAACAAAACAAAACATAGAGTGAGAAATGTGCATTAAAATGATGTATAACATAACCACATTTATTTAAGAATGTAGTCTAATATCAAATGGCAAATTTGAAGGATGCTGAAACCTCAATTACTTTTGCACCAACCTGCTAGTAAATGCCAGTAAAAGAATGAACAAATATTCCCTCTGATCTAAACATTCCAGTATGTAAACTAAAAGATATGATAGGCAGCCCATGACCCCATGAAACATGACGTGACTAAGACAAAGAAAAAAAGGGGGTAATTATGGTTTTCTGTGCTGAGGAAATATCTGAGCCAGGACTTAGGATTTTTTTTCCAGAGCCACTAAGTAGCAGTTAGTTAGTTGATGTAGCTGCTACTTTGCCATACATCTTTTTGACTTACTAATAGATACATCTTTCAAATTCAAACAGAAGAGATTGTAAAGTATATTTGGAGGTGGGGCAGTAACTTTTCTGGATCAAGAAAAATATGGCCAAGTATCTTGAATACTATTTC